ACTCAACAGTAAACACGTAGTATTTAGGTATAGTACAACAAGTACAAATGGAAGAACGGAATGTAACTTTCTAGAGAATAACGACTATGTGTTGTTACATGATGCTACACCTGCACATACAAGTCTCTTATATAATACCAGTGACATCCTTGATCTATGCATCACAACTCAGCTACAAATGATGAATCAAAATACGAGCGTGATAATAGTAAACATTTATTAAACGTTTTGAAATTTTCATAATTCCATCATCAATAATCTAGATGTACAAAACAAACAATATTTGTAATTACAAGAGAAATATGATATATGTAAGAAGTAACAATTCTAATATACAAAGTATGACAAGTGAAAATTAAAAAATTGGCACAAATGAAATAGTTAAATTAAAATAGTGGAGAATGTGTATTATTTAGGGACAGAAGTAGAGTTTTTATGTATAATGTTTCTTTTACTAGAAGTTCAGTATCATGTTTGGCTGTTGAGAGAATTTTAATGTTGGAGAGAGAAATCGGATGTTCTGTTTCTGTATTGAGCTGGTAGCTAGTGGAGTTGGGAAGGTTTGTAACCTTTCTCCTAGTTTTTATAGATATGCTCATGTGTTCACATGCTTGTACTTTAAGGTGACGTTTAGTTTCACCAATATAAGAGGTCTTACAGTCTCCACACTTGTATAAGTGGACGAGATGTGAACAATGGGCAGTCGGCAAACGATCTTTGTAGCGGAAAAACATTTTACTCAGTTTGTTTGTTTTGTACCTCTAGGTTACTGATGATGGAATTTTGAAGATTCCGAAACGTTTGATAAATGTTTACTATTATCACGTTCGTGTTTTGCTTTATAATTAAGCTACGTTTTCCAAAAATTAGCCAGTTACAAATGTTCAAGTTTCAATGTAAGATATGTTACAGACAGTGATCATTTACCCATCTGGTGCGTCTTCTATCTCGAACAAATGTTCAGTTACAAATGTTCAAGTTTCAATGTAAGATATGTTACAGACAGTGATCATTTACCCATCTGGTGCGTCTTCTATCTCGAACCCCACCATAATAAATTTATAAGTAGACCGAAATTCAATTATTAAAAACCAAACTGGAAAGAATATGTAAATATCGCCGATAAATTACTGCCGGCTACCACACAAGTTACTGAGTGCCTCACCAAAACTTCAGACCAGTCCCTACCAAATCAGAAACAATATAGTAGATGGAACCACACGTACAAGTAATAAATATGGTAAAAGAACGTCCCCCAGGTAGAGGTAGTTAGCCCTATTCTGGTAGGTGTCCCCTAGGTAGGGTAATTAGCCATATCCTGAAAGGTGTCCCCCAGGGAGGGGTTGTTTGTTTGTTTTGAATTTCGCGCAAAGCTACACGAAGGCTATCTGCGCTAGCCGTCCCTAATTTAGCAGTGTAAGACTAGAGGGAAGGCAGCTAGTCATCACCACCCACCGCCAACTCTTGGGCTACTCTTTTACCAACGAATAGTGGGTATGACCGTCACATTATAACGCCCCCACGGCTGAAAGGGCGAGCATGTTTGGTGTGACGGGGATTCGAACCCGCGACCTGCAGATTGCGAGTCGAGCGCCCTAACCACCTGGCCATGACGGGCCCCCTGGGAGGGGTAGTTAGCCCTCTTCTATTCATCATGTATGTAAGCTACATGCCCTTAACAGATCCAAATTATAGTCTTGCTTCTCAATTCGCAGAAGATGTGGAGATATGGAATAGCCGTCACAAAGTTACAAGCAGTACTAAACCAAATAGTTGGATACTGTCAAACATATAAAATTAGAATACATGTTCCAAAAACCAGACTGGTACTATTTTCGAAACCTATCAAAACATGTAGACACCCTCCAGAATTATACTTACACGATACTCGTCTACATACTGGCACATCATCAAAATTCTTAGGTTTAACCTACGATTCTAAATCCTATTATCCAATTCATTCTCATCAGAATCATTGAGTATTCAAGCAGATATTAACAGTCTTTATATATATCTCACTCTCTTCAGAATGATGGTACTTTCAGACGGAAATTAACAGTCTTTATATACATTACGCTCTTCAGAATAAATACATCTACGAGATTGTCGGGTGAAAATACAGGAGCCACACCGAAAAATATAATAATAAATTACAAACAGTACAAAACTCAGTAATCACCACAGCATTTAGACTACCCAGATCTACAAACACAGTTTTTATACATAAACTTACAGCCGATCCACGACAGACCCCTAGATTCAGATATTTTGACAAATATCTATACCAAAATGATTTACTAACCCACGTAGATCGTTATACCATACATGATGATGATAGCACTAAATATCTCTCTCCACTTAATAAAAAGACAACATATGCTAGACCATGAAGTATCACTTAGATTGAGATATCAAAAGTGTATTTAATAGAAGTGCATGTATGTAAAATACTTCTCTAACAACTTAGGTTTCAAAGTGTCGATTTACCAACTGAACTGTTTCTGAAGTGTAGGACTGTCACACAATAAAGTAAAGAGAAGTGACAAAAATGCACTGATTCTGAAGTGTAGGACTGTTACACAATTAAATAAAGAGAAGTGACAAAAATGCACTGAATGCTATAAGTTTTACATTTATGGACATGCCCTTGACAAGGGTTTTTTGTTGTTGTTTTAATTAACCTAAAGCTACACAATGGGCTATCTGTGCTCTGCCCACCACGGGTATCGAAACCCGATTTCTAGCGTTGTAAGTCCGCAGACATACCGCTGTGCCACTGGGGGGGGGGGGGTCTTTAACAAGGGAAGTAGGTTAAATATAATTACCCGCCCAGTGTATGAACCCTGTTATCATAATGTAAACCAACTAGCATTAAACAGAAAATAAATATTCAGTCAAGGAGGAAGGAAGAGGTCTTCATAGCACCTGACCCTCCCAGGTCGCACAACTAAGGGCGCGTCTAAACGGTTAAGTATAAAGTAACGTAAATTTTACGTAAGATACTACATAACTAATAGGGATGTAGGTAAGATTTACTTTACTTTATAAAAGCAAGTGAAGATTTTTGCAGTAATATTTAATTTTTGGTTGGGGGACCTTCTCACCTTCCCTATTAGGGGGAGCGTGTCCCCAGAGCGTGATCAGGTAGTACAGTGGTTTTATATGTGAAATTACTTACCAGCCTACTTATTTTTTGTCAAATGGCTGGGTCTCTCACATAGGCGCAACCAGAAGACGTGTCCCTCTCAAATTTTCGAGGTGCAGTTGATGCCCCCCTTAAGTTTGAGACACCTGTGTCGAATCTTGTGCTTTTAAATTTTTAGCCACATAGTTTAGCTATTGAGCTTTCTGTATACGGCTGATAAGTTAAAACCCCTTTATTAACTACCGTATTTTTCGGTGTATAAGACGCACTTTTTTACCCCAAAACTTGATGTCAAAATCTGCTTGCGTCCTATACACCGAA